CAGATAATCGACCACAATGCTGTTAACTCAAAATGTAAAAGGAGAGCAGGTCTGTCTGTTTCCAGTGTTTATGTTGATTTCACTTCATATCTTGAGTTTATTGAACTTGTTTTCAGTTAATTCAACTCTGCTGGTTTTAGACTTTCACAGTTAGATTACTTTGAACTAATTCATCAGCTACACTTTTTAGGCATTAGGGAAACATTTCTACGCTAAATGAACTTTAAAGGATTTACATTGAAGATATTTAAACAGATTCATGGAGAAAAGAAGCAAAAGCCGCATATTTAAATTGCAGAGTCACGCTACTTTAGGTCAAACCTGTAACTAATGTGTTTCCAGCCTCACATTTAAGACGTTTCAGACTCAGTAACCAGAGCTGGCTTTGCTTCCTCCACCAGGACGAAGACTTCCAGGAGATGGAGGAAGCAGCCCGGAAGATGGAGTCGCACTACTGGCAGTTCTTCGATCACGTCATCGTCAACGACGAGCTGCAGGACTCGTGCGTCCAGCTGCTGACGGCGGTGAGGAAGGCGCAGGACGAGCCTCAGTGGGTTCCCGCCAGCTGGATTCGACCCACCGCCGAGTCGTAGAGCAGAGAACAACCGGACGTGGCAGCAAGTTTGGGAAACGCAGAGTCTGGAAGGTTTTTTAATACAAACCCGGACATTCAAAACCAGCTTTTGTATCCAGTACTGCATGTTTAAGGAGAGTAGGGCACGGATAAAGATCCTGCTTGATCTGGTGTTTAAGTCGCTTCAAAGCCACAAAAAGAACATAAACTCAAGCCCAAAGACATCCCTGAAGCTGAATGTGTCCCAGGTTTATGTTTGTTGATGGTAGTAACTCCTCCTGATGTGCTTTTTAAAGCGGTTTGAATTAGAGAAAGGTAGTTTTTTTGCTCTGTATGCAGCTTTAACTTGAATTGTCTGCCCTGCTCCTCAGCACAGACCTGCAAGAAGGATTATTTTTCCAATTGATGTTTACATATTAGAGTTTGTTGTTGTTGTTTTTGTTTATTCTTGATAAGAGGTGTGCTCCTTCTGTGTGTTTTCCTGAATTGTGTCGCTGCATGCCAAAGAAATGATTTAAGATTTATAACAGATGAAAAAAAACAAAAAGCTGTGTTTGGCAAGCTCTTGTTGAAATAACACTTGGTGTCCTTATTTTGTTCAAATAAGCTGATGAATACTGTGTGTTTCAAGGTAACGTGCAGCAAATGTGCAACCAAAGCAATGACATTTTAATATTTGTACCTGTTTGTGACATTAATAAACTACTTCTGATCGTCCTTCATAGACTGCTTTTGTCAGCGGCTCTCTGCTGGAGGGCTTGTGTTGCTCTACCGTTCTCTTTACAACATCCCAAAGGTGTTTTACAGGATTTAAAATTAAAATTGGATGTTGGAGTGGATTTTTAGCTTCTTTGTTCTATTCTTTTCCATGTGGAGTCATGATGACACAGCCCATAGGTCCAAAACTGAGACAGTTCTGCTGTTCACTGCTCATTTTATAACCATTTTAATGCAGTTAGGCTAATTAGGAAACTACAGGGGAAACTCAGGTTAGTTTGTTAGTTGTTTTACTGAGTTTCTACTTTGGAACCTATTTTTTTATTTCTAAATTATTTGTTTTTTAAATATTACTTATTTAACGTAATACTCTGCTGTTTAATTAAGGAATAATGTAATTAATAAGTGGTTATAGAATCCTAAATTATCTGTCATTTCCGCTCTGAATGGGAGCGTTTATTGTGAAGACACCGGATGTGCGTTTCCAAAACCGCTCCGGGTAAAATGGTTCCGTTAGCGCTGCGTAAACAATAACAGTCAAAGTGGCGGTGTGCTCACTTTTAAACGGTTCATGTCGTTAAAATACACTTATAGGCCTCAAATGATTTAACTAGAATATAGTTTCAAGTCGCTGGTTGCGGTGAGCTTTGGGCGGATGGATACGAGCAGCACAAAGGTTCGTGTTTAACCAAATAACGGCTGCTAGCTTAAATGTTCATAAACCAACAAAACATTTGATTTTCTTTATGTCTCACTGTCAGGAACCGTAATATGTCGCTAAATACCACTGAACAGTGTAAATAAAATGCCAAATTTTAGATTAAACTCACTTGTGAGTTATGTTAATAATACAGGAGTTAATATTTGTTCGTAATTTATCCTTTTTTTTCTGCTAATAAACAGAAAATGAGGCCCAGGGAGCTGCCGCCGCTTCCAAAGGTTAGTAAAGATTATAATATATTTCATGTTTGCATTGAGTTCAAAATCCTTTTTTAGCATCTTAAGTCCACTTCAGGCCAAAACATTGTGTTTTTCTGAGATTTTTGGGTCATTTTAACTCAATAATATCGTTTCTTTCAGCCTTATTGAAATGAAAAATACACTTTTAGGTGTTTGTTTTTCTGCATTTTGTCTATTTGCATGTGTAGGTTTTCATATAAAGGTCATTTTTCACATCTTCAGGAGCTCTTACATGCACCAAACGTTACAGTTTTATTCATGTGAGTCTTTATTCTGCAGGTTTTTACACAATAGTTTTTTTAATATATCATTTAAACACAATTTCTGCGACGTTTTATTCATAAAAACATGGTGAAAATAGATTTTTCTTGCTGTTGACAGTGTTTTCTCAGTTATTTAGATGATAAAAAGAGATATTTAGAATCCACTTTGTAAAAACATTTGACTCTAATATGAATTTTCAACCAGACTTAATCAAATGTTCTGATTTCTGGAAGCAAATTAGCACAAGTTTGATTGAATATTTGCTTATTTAAACTTTTTCCATCTGAAAACTTATCAAGAAAAAAATGAAGAAGTTTTATGACGATATCAGTCAGGTTTTGTTTTTTTTGTTTTTTTAAATTTGTACTTTATTCACCGACATTGTCTCCCTGTTAATCAGTTTTTTAAAAAAAAGCAGAACAACACTGACATCTATTGTGGATTCAGTTTGTTGTTTGGTCACATTCAGACAATATTTTGAGCTCTGCGGCATTTCTGCTGTTTTAATTATCCGTTTTCTGACATTTTAGCAACAAAAAAATTAAGAAAGACTGCTAATATTACACCTTTTAGCTGCAGAACTCAGCAACTTTTTATAGTTAATTAATCAAGTGGATCCTACATTTCCCATGATGCCGCTGACAGCATCACTTCCTTTACACCCAACTTCCTGGTAATGTTTTGTCCAGGACGTGATCAGGATTATTTAGTCAGACTTTTAAAAAAAAGCTCCTCCAAAGCCATGGAGGCATTGCTGCATACATCTGTGCTCAGTTTAAGTCAGTTATTCAGGAATAATATCAAAAAATATCTTGTTTTTATTTGTTTTACATAAACTGAATGTATTAAGTCGTCGTGTTCTTCAATGTAGTTTTTCTGACATTTCTTAGAATTGAAAAAAATAGGAGTAGCAGCTCTGAAATAACCATTAAAGGCACAATGATTAATGTGTTTATACGGTATTTACCTCCTCCTTCCTGTAGAACTCAGTTTGGTGACATCAAGCAGAATTATATAGAATAATTACCAGAAAAAGTGTGATTTAGTGCAAAATTAAGCAGTTTTTTGTGATTTTATTGGCTTCATAGGGGCATAAAACCTGCGAATATTAAATTCAAGTTTGAATATAAGGGATAAAAGTCTGAGAATATTGAATAAAATAGAAAATATATATTGTAAAGGCCTTGTGTGTGCATGGACTTTAATATATTACAGACAATTCTTCCAGTATTCTTCCACTTTTTGTTCCACGTTCTACATATTTCACATTTAGTGTAAATACAAAACAGCACTTTATTAGTTTTTAATTTGCAATTTGTGAACAGATTTAATGTAGTTTTACTGAAAATCAACAAAAGCAAATTAAATTATTGTCCCGTTTTCACACAGTAAACATCCAGAAGGTCAACATGTTGCTTCCTCAGATTCTGGACTCGACCAGATGAGATCTTAAACCAAGTTGCCTCGACACAAGTTTTTCTTCGGTACTTGTTCACAAGTAAAACCTGAAAATTCATTAGAAGAGAAGTTGCCTGATTGTGATCCGGTGAAAGATTAAACGAGATCCCACAGACGCACTTCGCCGACGTTTAATTCAAACGCTGCTGCTGCAGCTCCAAGAGTTTGAAAAAAGCCTTGAGTTGTGTGACCTCTGTCCTGAGTAATCCTCAGTCCTGGCAGATGCATCAACACAGATTTAGCCGAGGATTTAACCGTCAGGACGTCATGTGTCGCTTCACTCTTACTTGATTCTTGGGTGAAATGGCCAGAAAGACGACGGTAAGGTTTTTATTTCGGCTGTTTGATCCGTTAAAACTGAGACTTTCTCAATTCTCTGTCATAAAATCCAAACGAATTTAGTCGTCATGGATGTGATTAAATAGTGTGCTCTGTGTTGTTGTGTAAGAGCAGGTGTGTATAGTTCAGACAGTGTTTGTTTTTGTCGGAGAGAAATTCTGTTTGTGTGTTTCAGCTACTTTTGATGAAACCAAATGATTGTTTTCTTCTTTTATCGATTTATTTTTTTGGTCTAAAATGTCTGAAAATGGTGAAAAATGTCGATGAGTGTTTCCCATAGAAACTGCAATAAAATGTCTTGTTTAATCAATAATCCAAAGATATTCAGGAACTAGAATTTACAGAATTTATTTATTTTTTTCCTGGAAAAAGACTTGATTATCAATATTCATTCAGTATTATAAAGTATTGATATTAGCATCCAATAGCTGACAACTAATAAACTAATACGTACAATACATTAACTTGTAAGATTTTGCACAAAATTCACTTTATTCCTGTTGATTTTTAAATAAAATTGTAATAAAATTAAAGCTCAGAAGGCACTAAAACATCTTTAATATTGTCTCCAACGGTTTGAAATGTGTTAAAATATCAGTTTTGTCCCTGATTTTAGCGATAACTGCTCCTCGTCTTTCCAATCTTTTAGCAAAATTGTGAATTGAAATTGAAATGAATTGATTTTTCCTCGACCCTGAAACTGGAGTTTTAGGTTTGATACTGATTTTAGGAAGTAAAAAACGCTGATATCAATTTATCAGCTAAGTTATGACAGCACTCAACTCTGCACCACCGTCTGCTCAGCTACATGTGCTGCAGACAGAAGAAATTATTGTTACATAAGGCTGCAAAGGACTGAAAAAATGTGATGTAAATATCAATAAAATCAAACAATTTGTTAATAATGCAAAACCCTTCTGTTCTGACTGGTTGTCACTGATGTTTTTCATATGAAGCTGTTAAAAATATATTTTTTGTGATTTTAAATTGTCTTAAAAGTCCTCATAAACCGTCACGAAACTAAATTTAGTCTGGTGAAGTGCTGATGGGTTTAAACTGTTTGTCTTTGTGTCTCTCCAGCGAGGACAGCGAGCTCTTCCCACGATGCAGAGGTAGGAAGAAATGTTGAATTTTAAACATTTCCTGTGACTATAGTGATGTCAAACAGCCAAACTAAACTTCTCTTCTCTTGTTTTTTGTGATTCGTGAACTCCTGAAGTCAAGACCCAACTGGTGAGTAAAGATTTATACGACAATAAAGAAGACGTGTTTGAAGTTAAGCTCTTGTTTTAACTTTATTTCTTATCATTTCATGATGAACAGGAGACGTTCCAGCATTAAAACACAAGAAGAAAAGGGTGAGAAAGGAGGCGAATGGAGTCGATGATATGGACGGTAAGAAACACATTAAAACCCTCATTTAAAATGTCTTTTCATTCCTTTTCTCTGTTATCTTGGGATTTGTCGGACTGTTTTTCTAACTAAAGCGAGGTCGGTTTGCAGCAGATTGAGGGTTTGAATCACTTTTCAGTCAAAATCTGTGACATAAATGTGTTGTTTTATTGAAAAAAAATGCAAAAAGGCATTTTATTGTACCTTTGGAATCTAAAAAACAAGAGCTGCCACCACTTTTTTAACTCCCAGACTTCTCAGAGTAAGTAAATCGGCCTGTTCGCTGCACCTGTTTTGTTCAGATCAGGGGATGGAGATGGGAGGCGTCGGCAGCCGGAGGGCGTCCGAGATCGGAGAGAACCTGATGCTGGAAGCCTCGACGGACGCACCGCCGCAGAGGAGGAAGAAGAAGAAGAAAACCGCCACGACAGGTGAACCTCAGAACTTCTGCTTCTAGTTTAACGAGTTTACAGAAGGTTTGTGTCGTGCAGGATGTTTTTTTTTAATGAGAATTCTCACCTTCCTGTGTGAAAATGTTCCATCAAATCAAATCCCTCGCCACTATTTTTAGTGAATAATACAAACATTGCCGACAAAAGCCGGCTTTTCTTTCTGAATTAGGTCTTTAGGTCTCATAACAACATATAAAATCAGCATTAACTTTTCAGTATTAAGTGTAAATTTAAAGACAAACCGTCTGGATTTCAGATGATGACGATCAAGCCGACCTGGTGAACGGAGACACACCGGATCAGACCACCGACGGAGAGGAAGTGACCAAAAAACCCAGAAAGAAAAAGTAAGAAACACCAAGAATTATTTTAATCACCAATTACTCTGAAGCCTATTTGCTAAATTATTGTTATTATTTGACTGAAAAACATCAGAAAATAGTGAAAAAATGCACTTTTATAATTTGTGGCACCTTCAGTTTTGTCCGAAATGAGAAAATATTTAATTTACAGTCACGTGTAGCAAAGAAAAGAATAAATTTTAGGGGCAGAAACTGCTAAAACTATTTTTGTATTTATCTTATCGTTGTGGCTCAAACAGCAGCTTGTGTCTAAGTTCTTCATCACATGTACATGATGGACTCTAGTGACACGTCGTGTGTTGATCCTGCTTCATGTTGTAGTTGGTTGTAGGACACGTCTCATTAATTTATGTTTGTATTTGTTCACGTGTTTAGCAACAAAAAGCAGAATTCATCAGAACATCGAAGCAAACTGGATTTGATGAAAGAAAAATATGAAAATAAATGAAGATTTGTCAACTGAAATATGTTTTTATGTCTTTCAGGAAGTCAAAAGTCGTGGAGTCGCAGCTTCCCGATGAGCTGGACGTAGAAGAAGACGACATCATCACGGACACGCCTCCTCCCATCCCCCAGCATTCCCTGTTCTCAGCCCCGCAGGGTCAGAGCCAGCCGGTCGGGAAGGTCTTTGTAGAAAGAAACAGTGAGTAACGGCACAAGAAGAAGATGGAACCCAAGTCCAAGCAGCAGTTTGTTTTGCTTCTGTCTCATTTTTCACTCAGTATGAGGACATGAACTCAGACATGCCGTCTGTGCAGTAGGACACAGTTATTATGCCATAAATCGTCAAAAAAGGACAAAGTTGAAGAAAATAGAGGCTGTACATACTATCAATATTTAACTATTTTGACATTTTTAAAACCAACTCTGTTTCCTCTCTCCTCTGCTCATCAGCTGTAGAAACATGTTTCCCTATGCTGGATGTATCTTCAACAACTGGCTCCTCTGTTCACTGTATTTGAGCCATGGTGCATTTTTTTTATTGATCCAGTGTGTTGATTTTCCCCTCAGCCTTTCTCATCGTCTCCTCTCTGCTTTGGTGAAACACAGCCTCCAGTTTAACCTGAAAACTCTGAATTATTGTCATGTGACTGTTGGTCACAACTGAGCCAGTCGTGGCTTCATAGTTGCACCGAGGAGCGCAGAATTTTTTACTTTTCACAGAATCTTGTTTGTGCAAATGGTTTATTTTTGCCAAATTAAAAAAAAAAAAAGGACATGGGATTTTACTTAAAAATTAGGATTTCAAGGTTAGATTTGGTTAAACCTGACTGAACACGTCACAGATGGGTCGATCGAGGACTTTCTGAAAGTTCAAATCCAATAATTCTGTCTGTTTTTACAGTTTCTGGTTGATAAACCACAAAATGTTTGCAAGTTTTTCCTTTTTAATGATTTATGGCATTAGAATTTTGTTTGTTATTGCTTGAGGAATAGAACGGTTTGTTTGGCAAATGGGACGTGTCAGAAGATTTTGTTTAAATATTGTAATTTGAAGATGTCTGTGAAGATTCTCAGTCATCCAGGTCGTGGTTATTCTCATACATTAATCGTAGCAACTGGACTTGCTTGAGTTCCTTGAATTAATGTAATGAATGTAATTTTAAGTTCAGATTCGACAATTTTTTCTGTTTTGACAATTTTTTTGGTTAGTTTTTTTAAGGTGCCTGTTAAAGCTGCTGGCAGGTCTTGCGGTTCGTATTGAATTTATATAATGTGTGTATTTTTACGTGCAGAGCGTTTCCAGGCTGCAGAGCGCTCAGACTGGAGGAAAACCAGCGACCAGATGGACAACATGACCGACTTCCAGCACATACAGCCGCTGTGGACGACCAGAGACGTTTCTGTCAGAGTGCACGAAGGCTTCAGGTGACGCATCAGCCGGGGTGAAAACAACCACAAAAGTGTGTCTGTCCTGTGTCTAAGTGTGTGTCTGTGTGTGCGGTTCAGGGTGTTCGGTCTGTACTGCCACGGCTTCCTGGCGGGCTACGCCGTGTGGAACGTGGTGGTGGTCTACATGCTGGCCGGGCAGCACCTCACCGCTCTGTCCAACCTGCTGCAGCAGTACCACGGCCTGGCATACCCGTCGCAGTCGCTGCTCTACATGCTGCTGGCCATCAGCACCGTGGCCGCCTTCGACAGGTACCGATGCACGCAGACCAGAACCCATCAGCCAGACTTTAACCAGACTTGAGATAAAAATGCAACAGAAGAGTACAAACAACCCCCAAAGTCATGTTGTAAATCTAAAGCGACTGAGGAACTGAGGAAACACCAGATGAGATAAAAATCAGCTACATAAATAAATAAAATCAAATAAAATACATATTATTAAAATGGAGATAGAAACAGATAGAAATAGAAGCCAAAACTGATAAAAACTGTAAATTAAACAGGCTTAAATATGTAAATAGGTGAATAAACTGACAAATCACGCATAAAATTACCTCTAAGAAGAGAAATAAATGAATAAAATCTTTCAAATAAATCAAATCCTGAGCTGCAGAAGCTTGAATTGCCCCATTTTGCTGCTCTGGTTTGTTTTCTTGACATGAAACCACTTGTTTTTTTCCCGTCAGGGTGAATCTGGCCAAAGGCTCGGTGGCCTTGCGGGAGTTCATCACGCTCGACCCGGTGGCGCTCGCTTCCTTCTGTGAGTCCTTCATCCAAGCACAGATTATTAAACGGTTCCTGCTCGGTGGTCTCAGCTCACGCTCTTTATTTACTCCTCCCTCTCAGTGTATTTCTCAGCGCTGGTCCTCTCTCTGAGCCAGCAGATGACCAGCGACAGAATCAACCTGTACCCGTCCTCCAACACCACATTATGGTGAGTCATTTGAACACTCTGATTGCTTCACGAAGCCTGGGTTCGGTTCTGACTCGTCGCCTCTTTCTGCTGCAGGCCTCCGGGCTCGGAGCACCAGATCCTGCACCCGTGGGTGACCATCAACCTGGTGGTGGCGCTGCTGGTGGGCCTGGCCTGGATCTTCATCGCCACCAGACCAGAGACGGACTACACAGAGGGTGAGAGGAAACATCCAACTCTGCTGTGAAGACAATCTGCCCTGAAACTAGTCGTTTACTGTCTCCTCCCTCCTCCTCAGGGTACCTCATGGCCATGGAGATCGAGCCTCCGAAGCTGGAGGACAAATCAGAAATGAGCGCCTGAGAGAAAGAGGAGATCTTCTCTGGGACTCGTCGTCACTTTGCAAATTTTTCTTTGCATCATATTTAACCTGTGAATGTTTTATAGATTATTTTTGTATTTTTGAAATGTGCTCGTCTCTTTTTAAATACAGGGTTTCAACAAATCCAACAAGGCTTCGTTTGATTTATTTAATTAAATGAGTTGTGAAGAGATGACGTTCACTGCAGCGTGTTTGTGAAGAATGTTTGGAGTTTATTATTGTCCTTTAAAATGAGCAGAGCCTTAAGTTAGTATTTATTTCCCTTAAATTTATTTACAGTGTTGCTTTGTCCAAATTCCCAAAGAAATTCCACAAATGCAATAACACACAAATTTGAATCTTGGGTTAGAAATGTGGGTATTTTATCTGCAGGAATATGTCTCCCCACAATTTAGGGACATTTGGTGAAAACACAGAAAGGATAGTTTCCACCAGATCAAAATATTCAAATGGCTCCAGCAGAGACACTTGTTTGAATATTGGCCCTTGAAATGAAAAAAACGTGAACAAAACTACTTCAGAATTATCCCAGATGACTTGAAAATGACTC